TCCCCTTCACTTGAATATTGAATGTATGTTTTTCTTTCATGTGGTCATATAGTTGTTTATATATTGGTTTCGTAAGAGTATTGTGTACATTGGATACTTGCTTTTCCATTCTTGTGATACTTTACTAAGAAAAATATGTTTCAACTCCAGCCAGGTAAACACAAAAGATATAAAGTCTCCATTTTTATTTATATAGATAGATAGATATAGATATGTAAAGCGTATACCACAGTTTGTCAACCTGTTCATGAGTTGATGGGCACTTGGGTTGCTTCCATGTCTTGGCGAGTGTGGGTTGAATTCTTGCAAACATCATTGCATCAAGTGACATCATTTCCTTTTATGCCCTTCTTTTCAGTGTGGAGGAGAACCCTTTCCAAAAGCTCCTAAAAGGCATGTCCTTAAGGTACCCTGGCCAGAAATGATATACATGATCTTGCCCTAGCTGTGAGAGAAGCTAGCTTACAGAAAACTACAACCTTAGGAGCCTGTAGCAGTTCTAGGTGGACAAGTCAGATAATCCCTGCCTTCAGGAAACTACTTTCTAATCATGTGCCTAGTGAGGTCTGACAAAAGAGAAAGAACCAGAAGAGGAAGGCCACACAGAGTCTGGTTTCAAGACGATTGCAGTTAAGGGGCCAAGAGGTCATAGGCTTTAACTCCAGAAATTCAAGGGAGGTTGGAAGCAGAGAAACGTCCTGTAATGTAGTTACCTGCAAGCAAGAGAAGAGTGTGATGCTTGTTTGTGGGCAAGTAGAGAAGAGATGATAGCTATCGGTAAGAACAAAAAAAATCACAGAACGAATATTGCCCATCTCTGGTTATCTGCTTTTATTTTTCCTTTTAAGTGTTTAACTTATTATTTCATCTATTTTGAATAAAACCTTTTTATTACTACCCATCCTTGTAATCAGTGAGGTATTTTCAAATGTGTTAGCTCTTTGCTTCCTGTATAACACCCACATTAAGGAGCATGGATACTAGTATCATACATATACCTGTAAGATTTACAGAGCGGGAACAGAATCCTAAAGAAGGTGACTCAGCGTCCAAGTTTATGTTAATTACAAGCAGCAGAGCCAAAACTGGACTTTAGGGGCTATAGACACTATCAGATATTTTTTGATGGCATCCTAATTCCAGAAAATATATGCACAAGTGGTTAGTCTGTCTGGGTATTTCTCTATTACATACTTTAAGCTGCTGTTTTCTATCAGTTTACGCACTTGACTTTTGTTTCTCCACTAAGTACCTAAATTAACAGAAAAATGAATGCCCATCCAATTGAACTGAACCAGTAATTTGAAATTTTTATTAAATGAGAGGAAATAAAATGCAAAACTATAGCCAAAGGTTAAAGGAATTATAAGTAGACAGCCTTGAATACTTTTGTATGAACATTAAAAAATCAATTCCAGGCATCATTTCAAATTCTTACCTCATGTTCCCACTGGCCCCAATTTTCTGAACCATTCCTTTAGTTAAAGGAAACTGTGGTTTAATCATAAAATTTTTTGAAGCTTCCTTAAGTCATTTTATAATAAAATGGATTATAAATTAATTAATTTAATCGATGAATTAGTTAACACTGTAGTCAGTTTTGTATAACACATAAGAAAATATTATCTGCCCTTCCTGTATTATGTGGATCTACATTTTTAAACTCTATCTTTTTATTTGTAAATGATGTCTCTAGGACAAAATGGTATCATTTCGTTAAGTGTGTGTTGTTTTTAAAAAGAAACTATAGACAGATTTATAGCCATAACCCTTTCTATTTGCGTTTGTTACCAAGTCAGATACACATATGCTACATAAAATAAACTTGATAATTATAATTGCTTAGAAGTCAAGCCTACTCAAATGGCTAAGAACTCTGAATTACAGAGTAGCTTAGGGAACATTTATGGAAAGTTAGTTTTAAAATAATTACACTTTCTGTACCTAATCTTGTAATGCAACCAAGTTGATAACTTATCATTAGACATACCATAATCTCTGAAAGAATTAATACTGCGATGCTTGGGCCACTCTGAAGGGCATGCAGTCCAACTGTTTATTCTTCAGTGGGAATAGATTGGTGCTTGGAGCAAAAAATTTATTACATGTCTAAGCATAGCAAATTTTAAATTAAACTAACTGGAAAAAAATGTAAGTACTTTTCCTAATTTGCTCATGGAAGTTTCTTTTAAAGAAGAGTTCAAGATGCACAGTTTGAGGCTATGTTATTTCTTGCTTTGTTGTTCATTTTTTAAAACTAACCAATTCTCTCTCTTCTCACTTTCACTCTTTAGGTATATTATATTTTTAGAAATTGATATAAAAGCACATGTCTGTAGGGTAATGATGTTTGAAAAAACAGTAGAAATGATCAGTCTTTTATTTGATTTGCTCAATGAAGTAAGAGAATAGACTTGCTCAGCTTTGACCCAAAAGTCATGCCCTTTTCTCTTTTCTTTCTGTTTTCATTTCCAGGACATTGCATTTGGTCACATAGCTTTAAATACCATCTATACATTTCTCCCAAATTTCTGTCCAACTCGGACCTCTGGTCTGAAATCCAGATCCTTATTCCCAACTACCTACTAGATATCTCCTTCCTGTGGATGCCTCCCAGACCCCTCAATGTTATCCTATTAAAGCCACACTCCTAAACTTGACCCCAGCCTTCCTTTTCCTCTTGTAGTTTCTCCAAGCCAATAAATGGCAACCCCATCTTTTGAGCTGCCTGGGTCCCAAACATTGAAGTCATCTTTTCCTCTCTCCCTCCCTCTCCCTTGCTTTCTCTCTTTGTTCAGTAAATTAGCAAATGTTATCATCTCTGTCTTTACTATCTCCAAGATACATATACTTCTTGTCATCTCATCATCCTGGTTCAGCACCCATCAGCTCTCATCTAGATAGATCAGCAGCCCCTATCTGCTCTTTCTGCTGTACACTTGGTTTCTCTGAAAGCTACTCTTATCTCAGCAGCAAGAATGGTGACAATTCATGTTAGCCATCTGCTCATAATCTCCAGTGGCTCTTCACCCACTTCAAATAAGAGCAGAAGTCTTATGATGATCTGTAAGACTCCAATTATCCATAAAACACCAGTGACATCTATCCCAGGATCCATGACCCCTACTTATCACTCTCTCCCCCCTCCCTGGCTTCCTTGCTGTTCCTGACTCACTATCTTTATCATTGACTTGTTTTTTTTCCCCTCCATCTGCCTGGAATGATTTTCTCCAGTTCCTTCACCAGTGTCAATTCTCTGCTGAAATGTCACCCTCTCTGGGACCTGATCATGCTATTTAAAATTGCAGTGCTCCTCCCTGCACTGCATCTCTCATCACCCTTCTGTACTTCACTTCTTTCTCTGTTTTTCTTGTATATTTGTTTAATGTCTATCTTCCCACATTCATTTCCAGCTCCATGAGGATGGTAGTTCTTCTCTCTCCTAAGTCTCAAGGAAATTCTCATGTTTTTTCATTGCCTTGAATGGACTCACATGTCTCTTGTTCCGGCAGCTATGGTGGGCAGGAATGGATTGATAATAGACTTCGAGTGCACACTTCAACCTTGAGCTAAGGGTTGGGGAGCAGTTGGTTTTCCAAAGGGAAGCTGGAGTACAACTGTTATAAGAAGAAGGAAATCTGTTGTAATGGCCAACAGATGCCCACTATAAAGAGATAGATTGGGCTCAAACTTGGGTCACTGCAGTTGGATGGGAAGAGGGAGGAAAGAAGTAACAGAGATGAAACCAAATAGGCCTTTGCTTCTGAATGGGAAGGAGGAGGATACGGAGAGGCTTGAATATAATAAGATTTTGAGCTTGTGTGACTAGAGTTTTGCAATGTCATTAAAGAAGATTCAGGATAAAAGAGAAGGAGCAGATTTTCAGAGAGTACATTTTCTTGCTTCTCATCCCTGGTTTTATTAATAAAATTGTTTCCAGCTTCTCAGAGCTCAATAACCACAGAGTTCTACAAGAGGCAAGAGGCAAATTCTTCCACAAGCCTCTTATTCTCAGAAGACTTGTCCCTGCAGTTTTAAAAAGTCTTCTCTCTGAGCCCAAGTGTGAGAGTATGAGACTAAAAATTTATTTTCTCTCAACAGTTTGAGTTTCCTTTGGTTGAGCCATCAGCTTCTATGGAATAGGAAACCGTCAGTCAGATCCTGATCCTGTAGTCTCTCATAGAACATTTCTTCATGGATGACTTAGGGTTGCAAAGCCATCTCAGAAATTATACTGTGGATTAGGCTTAGAGAAACATGTGCTCATCTACAGAACTCTAGTGGATGTCTATGCATTTATGAAGTGGGAATCATTTAATTGCTGGTGGCCCAAGGTACAGCTGTGAAATGGGAATAACAATAGTACTAACCACAAAGAGTTGTGTGGCAATTAAATAACTCATTCTATGTTGAGACTTTAGAATAGCACTTGGTCAATAGTAAACCCTCAAAAAAAAATGAATAAACTAAGACCTAGAAGGGGCTTTGGCTCTGTTCTTTGTCAAAGGTCCCACAGCTAGTAAGTGGTGGAGCTGGGATTCAAACAGAAGCAGTCTGGATCTTAAGAAACCAATCAAATGTTCCAGAACTGCCCAAGACAGTCATCATTTATGCTCATTGTCTTGGCATAATTATAAATATAAACTCTAAACTGTGCCCCCACTTGGTTGGTAAATTATGGACACCGTTCCTCTTAACCACAATGTTTTGCATATTCAAAGCCAAGAAAATCTACCTGGGCAACAAAGGCATCCAAGCAGTTAGGCTGTGGCTCCAGCATATGAAGGGTGACATTTTGGATTGAATATGACTATTTGGTAATCATCCAGTTTGTCCTAAGAATTAAAGCAGCTGTGTGATTTGGCGTAGGTTTGGTTTTAACCACACTGCTCTCTTACTACTTTTAAGGCTGTTTCACGCTATGATAAAGTTGCCAATTACCATATTTTTGCCTGTTTCTGGAATGGTTTGATTTATGCCTCAACATGTGGCTCCTGCAGGTTCCCCCGGATCTCCAGAACGAAGTGCTCATCAGCCTCTTGGAGACCGACCCTGACGTTGTGGACTATTTACTCAGAAGAAAGGCTTCCCAATCATCGTGAGTATGCCATCTTTCCATCTTCTAAAACCACATTAGGGATTTCTATTTCCATTTCTGAAGAATTAGAAAAGTTTACGTAACTCCGTGCAGGATGACCTGAAGTGGAATTTTGGCAACTGTCTGGCAACTCTGATCAGTCCACCTAATCAGAAAATGCTTCAGTCTTACCAGTCCACTCACTGAATTAGAAACAAGATTTTTCTGTTTCATTTTCAGCTTTCTGTAGCCTCTGGGGCTTTTTCTTTTACTGTGTTTGCTGGGGGAGGGAGAGAAGCAATAAATCACTGGCAAGAAGCTCAGAAGCTAGAACGCATGGCAGTGACTCTGCTCCTAGCCTCCTCTCAACTGTACTTCAGGGCCCCAAGGCTGCACCTGGGTGCTCGCAGCTTTACCAGCAGGGTGGCCATTAACAAACCACAAGACAGACCTTGGCCAAGGCCTACGTGCCCATTTGAAATTACAGGTGATCCCCCTCTTGGCTCTCCCATTCTTTGTAGCTAGTATTCTGCTGATAAAAATGCACACAGGTCTCCACATGAAAAGAGGAAAATGCACATCACGCTCCAGGCTACTGCTTGCTGCCATTTTTTCCCCCAAAGGAAGAGCCCCGAATCTTTGCATTCATCAGATTTTATGGTTAATCTCAACCTTTGCTACAGAGGCACAGTGTACAGAGGAACCGAGCATTTGGCAAAGCCAGTGAAGGAACCACCACCATGACACCAAACCTTAGATTTGTGACAAGAAAAATTGTTGCTATTGTCTTATAAAATTATCATTTGTGTTATACTGTTAATCTACTGAATTTCAACAATTCTTAGATATCTTCTCCCCCTCATTTTGTCATCTCTGAAATTGAGACCTGTAATCTTATCATCAGTGGCATGTCCTAATGTAATTTGCACCACTTTTTCTTAGTCATATATAAAATAATGGTATGTCTTATTTGATGGTATCACAGAAATAACAACACATAAAGTTATTTCTATATACTGAGAATGATTTGATAAATTAGTTTTCATTTATGATTATTGCAAATATTTAAAATTTTACATTACTTAGAGAAATGGGCTGCAAACGAACCCCAGGTTGTTTGCCTTCTTTCCCAGGTCATCCCATTAATGACACTGCTAAATTCACCTTCACTCCTTTCCCAGCTAAGCAGGAAAGACCTTTTCATTGGATCACCCTTTTAAATGCACTCTTAAAAATCTGTGTCTGTGACAATCATTATCAGGCCAAATTCCGGTTTAAGACATATATTGCCTAGATTAAAGCCTCAAGAGCCAAGAATGAATAAAAACACATTCAGATTGTGTAAATGGTTTAGCATTTCATGGTCATGCTTTCTGTATCAGAGAATTAGCCTTATACTGAATTCCTATTATTCTAACCTTCATCAAGGTTTAAGATCTAAGTTAAGTTTTTATACTAACAAATGACTTTTCTTCTCATCAGATCATGCACCAGCAGAATTTTAATGAACTCACTTATTTTTTTCCCTTGGGCAAAAAAAACAGACATGGTGGCACTTCTATTTGTGAATCCCTCATTAAGCTGTATGTATAACATACCACTGGTACTCTGTAACAAAGCTAGAAAACACACAGCTAAAAATCCACTGCGTTTTAATTGGCCAAATTTCTGCTTTTGTGTGGCATTATTAGACAGATAAATACTGCACTTTAAAGAAAAGTTGATATAAGTTATTTTCATGTGGTTTCCAAGTATATTCTCTGCATATATGTAGTAAATGTGAAGGTAAGAAGTGAAGCTTTCTATTTTTAGGACAAAGGAGAAGCGTGCACAGTAAGCCCCTTCTGAGTTGTACAATTGACTGGTCTCTTCTGTTCCCTATCCCTGTAAGTGTTAAGAAGTAGAATTTTAAGGTCTAGCTGAGCTGACCCTAGACCAAGATCTTAGGTGAATGTCACGGTTTCCAGGGAAGTTAGGGGAGCTCATGGGAGGTCTGTGATATCAGGGACTGGCATTGTGGAAGAACTGAAACATTTGGGGAAGACTGACTGATTTAGTAAGGAGAGGAGGAAGGTGTTTGTTTTTTCCTTTGTTTTTCTCTCGGTACAGACCAGGAAACAACCCAGAAGGCTGATAATAATGCCTTGAAGTAAAAATGCATTCATTAATACATATTTATTTTTAGTGACCTTTTAAGGCTTGAGAGTCCTACCCCTCGACCTGTACGTGGTCTCTTTATGCCATAAGCATGCGCTTCCCAAATTTTACATGCGTGTAAATCACCAGATCTTGTTAAAATGCTCTTTCTCAATCAGTAGAGCTGATGGGTACAGATCTGAGAACCTGAATTTCTAACAAGCTCCCGAGTGATGACAATACTATTAGTCCATGATCCATGTGTAGAAAAAGCTTAAAATCTCAAAGTTTGTGCTTTCCCTGAAGAGCTTTCAGACTTTTGGACAAGGGCTCTAAGGGGGGAAATAATAGGAGGCCTGTTGTTAAGTGTGTCACAGAGTCCAAAAGGATAGGTGCTGGAACAGCGGTTCTCAGACTCACCCGCTCCTTGGACTCGACTGGGGAGCTTGAAGAACAACTACGCCTGGACCACCCTTTAAGAGATTCTGGTTCCCTCATTTCTAGGTTGCCATCTGAACATTGGGCTTAGAATTCTCATGTGATTCTAATGTGCAACAAAGGCTAAGCATCTCCAGCTTAGATCCACCACATTTGATATCCCTTATTATCACATGGGAGATTGAGCTGGGTGATTTTGACATTGAAAAAGGGTGTCTTTCTGTTGACAAAGGAATGCTCTAGACCATAATAAATGCATCTGGAGTTAGGAGAAAGGAAAGAGATGTCACTTGCATTCTCAGATATGGCTTCTGAGAAGAGGAAAGATTTGCAATGAACTTTGAAGACTGAGGAGGGTTTTAAAAGGCCTGGATGTTTGGGGAGCTTGGACCAGGGCCTGGACATAACAGTAAATATGTTGACTGGCTGGAGGCAATAAAGAGGCTGGCCAGCGATGAGGACAGAAGCCCTTGAATGGCTGGCTGAGGGGTGCTTTATAGTGACAACAGATTACTGCGATGGTAGATTACAGTGATGATAAATTATAGTACCCCAAACTGCCAGTTGGCACTGGCTATATTCGCATGTCAACTACCCATCTATAACACATGCTTGTGTAGTTTAACATACTGGTTAATGCTTCAAATCCAGAGCCAGATCACTTGAATTTGAATCCTAATTCCAGGGCTCTTAGCTGTGTGGTCTTGGATAAATTAATCACTCTGTCTCAATTTCCTCGTCTGTAAATTAGAGACAGTAGCACCAACTTTAATATAGAGTTGTTGTGCTGTTAGGACAGTACATAGTTTATCATAAATGCTTAATCAAGGCTAACAATTACTAACAAATTTCCTCAAATTTCACCAGTTGGTTCATTTGCAACTACTTACCAAAGACTTGGGGATCACTACCTTCTATGCTGGTTTCCATGAGCTATAGGAACCTGCAAGGCACTATGGCATAAGGGAAAACTTGAAGTTATAGCATGGTGTCTAAAATCAAAGCTCATTATTTGCTTCTAACCCTTTAATTTTTTTTTTCTGAAGCTTCTGTTGTTTGCCACCAGTTCGCATACCTAAATAAAGCTTGACATTCCTGTGAGGCCAAGTGGAAAGGACAAGATTTTATTTGCAAGGGAAAAGAAACAACTTTTCAGAAGTGTAAAACCAAGAACAAGAAAATATTTATTATAATTTCTGTTTTGAAAGAGCAAACATTTAGTGCTATTTGGGAACTTAACATTTTGTTTTCATCTGGATTTTTCCTGCTTCATGCAACATCAGTATTGGAGGAGTGAAAAGAGAATTTATTATCTTTTCTTGTACTTGTCTGTTTAAATGTTTGGCTTCTACCAAACAGGATACCAAAGGAAGATTGGAAGAGATTTTTTTACTAAGAATGCAAGACTTCCAGGTTTTAAGAATTTTTTGTCTGGTATCATTGTTAGAATTATACGCCCTTTTCTCCATAGGTACTTAAAATGGATTCCCCATCCCTTTGATTTAGGGCTGTGAGGAAATAGGGGATGAAAATGGAAGGTTAACCAAAGAGGATAGAGTATGTGGAATGTGGGAATTTATAACAGAACAAAGGAATCGTGGCAGAATTGGGACTAAGGAGAGGCAAGCCAAGACACAAAATCTAAGGGAGTGCCCCATAAGTCATTACAATTTACTGTATCATAATGGAATATTTTTAAAGCCCAAGTTAAAGCCAAAAATCTTTGATGACAAAATATCAAAAATTTTGGAAGACTAGTGCTATGTGTGACCATAATAGGACCTGAGGCGAAAGTAGAATGTGTGCCCCTGACTTAAATAGAAGCAACTCATAAATCAGATTTCCAAAATGGACTTCATTTCTCTGGGTTGCAACCAAGAGAATTACTAATTTTGACAATTTCTGTTGACCAAGTGGTAATCTTAAATAATTTTAAGTTAACCTGAAAGAAATTCTGCTTTGGCATAAATAAAACATTTAAATTCAATATGATGGTTTAAGTCCTGACATATCTGCTTTTCAATTTTTTTTATATTTTTCAACTGCTTTGATCTTCTGGGGAAAAAGTAACCATACATAGAACCATGTGTATATAGGTGTACAGTTTGCTTTTAGCCTGAGGCACCTCAGGCCCCTAGGGTTCTTCTCGAGGATGCTTTGAGGAACTGGGCTTGATAAATGTGAAAATCCTATATAAATCCGGAGTTCAAGAGAGCACAGCAGAGCTCAGATCATCTGAGACACAGTAACTAGTTTCACCAGCATTTCTTGTAATTTTTAAATATAGCTTGAGAAAGTATGTAAGGATGATTTGCTTTTATTCCATCAAAGCTCGTAGGCTCCCCAGGAATAGCATATTAATTAAAGAAGGCTAAGTATCCTGTCTACTATTTTCTGGAAACAAGATCAAAATACAACAAATTTCACTGCATTTGGGGAGAAGGCAG